TTTTATATTTAATATTAATAGTAAATAGAATTTAATTAAGTATATATAATAATTAATAAATAATTAACATATTAAACGTTTTTTAATGTATTTTAATATAAGTAATAACTTATATTGTAATATCATGGTCGAAGTATAAATAAACTCTATCCGTGAAAAATTACTCCACGGACAAAGTATAATAATCATATACGGCCGTGTAATTATTTTAACAATCAATCACGTATATGAAACAATAAGTATCATTTAATAAGAGGAACATGTTCTTTTCGACTGTTTTAAGGAAGTTGTAAATTTATCTCGACATGATAAACTCTCTTACATTATCGTTATTTCACTATTACATTATAATTAATAATTTGGTACCAAATCAAGGAATTCTTATCATTCAAAAAAAGAAGGTGAAGGAAGGTTTGCGCGTCGAGAATGAAATCTTTTTTAGGAAGACCGGTGTTACGCAAAATGTGAGAATTAATAATTCCGGGAATTAGACCCGAGTACGGATGTCGCGAACGAATGAGATCCAACAAATTACAATAATGAGATGTTTTTTTTGGATTTTCATTTGAAATATTACATAATCGACACAATAACAAATAAAACTTTTCTACAAAGAATCAAGAATGGGTTCATGGAAGAAGCGTGCTCCCCTCAACGCGTTAACTTTTATTGGAATAGCTAATAATAAAAAGAAAACATTTCAAATGTTTGTGCCAATGTTTGTAATTAAAATTTCCCAGATAAACTTCCAAACAGTGATACAGGAACTTTTTTATATGTTTTATTTGTTGGGGATTTGCAAGCTTGTTTTACTTTGTAGTTCGGTTCCGGTTTAATCTTTATCCAGTCCTGTTTGTCTAACGTAATGCAAATCGTGCATAATTTTCAAGAGTTCAACTAGTATTTTAAAGTTAATGTCAGCCAAAAATTCATGTGTTTATAATTTCACGCACATATTGCATTGCATAAGTTTGAGTAACAATTCCCTCGTACAAGAAGGAAAATTTCAGTAGTTTCTAGAAGATACCTTCCATTCTCTATTCACTATTGTAAAAACATGAATCTTTCTATATTGCTTAACTTATTGAGTTCATAACTTGCCGTATTAGATTCCGGCTAGCGACCAGACCCATGCCTCTGTCGGGTTGAGCACATAGCTTTACTCTTGATTCCTAGCATACAGTATTTTTCGAAAAGACCTTTTGCTCCGTCGTTCCGCGAAAGAAGATGAGCAATTCTTTTAGGTAAAAAATATATACAATATAAATCTCTCTCTTTTCTGTTTGACTATAATTTACTATAAAAAATTTATGAAAATTTTTTCATCTGTACAACCATGTTTGTGTTTGATACAAACGATTATTTACAATTTGACCGCTCGAGGGAAGTCGCTCGCAGTCAACGAACGTTGTTTTTAAAATGGTGCCAAATCCGCGCATTTTTTTTTCGTATCATACAAATTTCTCTAAATGTGCTGTAAACTTTCTATGACGAAACCTTTCATAGAGAGCTTTATCGTCATTTAATAGGGCAATTATGGCCTTTTGCATTTACCGTTCTTCGATACCTTTGAACCTAGTAACTTCCTTTCCTTTAGGTTGGTTAAGTCGACCCGTCACTTTGTTAATCAATTGACAACGTTTTAAAGGCATAAAAATCGACAATTTAGCAAATTTACCAGAAAAAAAAAAAAAAGGATTTAAGCTAAATTGGTGAAAATGATTAAAAAATATTTTATCCAATAACGATATCGATTGCCTTTCAAAAAATATCATAAGAAAGTTTCGGGTGAAAGCGAAATTTGGTTCGGAGTCGTTTCGGAGTCTTGCCATTAGTTTCGGGGTAAAGTCATAAAGTTTCGGAAATCTCCAGATGAGTGGTCCCGAATAAATTCCCATTTCTGTCCGAGTATCGAAGGGTTTAACACCAACTTTCGAATCATTATCAAAATGGACAAAATAATAAAAAACATAATGGAGGGGAAGAATGAAACCATGTGAACGTAAATCTTTAAGGAAATGATGATTCGCAAAAAAAAAAAAAAAAAAAATGCACGGAACCAATTTATTAACCTGGAATTAATCAACGATGATTAATTTCGCAACATACTAACAATTAAAATAGAAATTCTATGATGTTTTTTGAAAGAAAAAACCCCCAAAAAATCCATGAAAATTTTAACATCAGGGGTCAATACATGCTTCCAGAAGAAAAAGAATTAAAACCAAAGAGGATTACTTTATTTTATAAAACACAATTAATACAATTCTATAAGAGGACATTATTTTTGAAATGAGAAAACCGTCTCGTTTTAAACTACATGACGAAATTGTAAACATTTTTTCTCCGTTTTTTTTTTTAACCCTTTTCGTTAATAAGTCATCCTTTTTTTTTTTGTTTTTGATATAGAAAAAAAAATTAGGGTGCTTTTTAAACCATGGCTTGTGTAACGCATTTATACGCGGCTAATCATTATAAAAACCTACATTATCCCTTTTTTTTTGCTTTAACCATTAAAACCTTTACCCACCTTTTTTTTTTTTTAATTTTTCCAAAAATGACGGAGAAGAATATCCTTTACGATTTTGCGGTTTTTACTTTAAATCATTCACAGAATCCCTTATTCTTACTCGCCGATGCGGTGTCCATTTCCGAAAAGGATGAGGGTTCCATATATTCAACCTCGGATGGGGACGATTCTACGATATCATCACCCACTTCAACCGAATTTTCCTACCCTGAAATCTCCTTGCATTACGCTGAAATTCCGTTTAAAGGATCGGGTCGAGATGAACCCGTACCCAAAATTTATGATCAACCGAATAAGAATAAAGACAGTTCGCTAAATATTAAAAGTATTAAATCGCGGAATCTTTCAAATTACTTTATCAAAGATTTGAAACATCTTTCAACTTTAAATGTTAAGGATTCTCAACAAGTTGTACCAAATCATGCAATAAGATCTAACTTTAAAATACCAAAGAATAGGAAAACAATTTTGAAAAAGCAAATGCTACCAGTCGATGATGATAGCAGCACAACAAATGTATTGAAAACAAGACCACGACGTAAAAAGGTGGAACCCTCAAATCAACCCTATGTCACCAAGTCAAAAAGAATTAGCAGGCCAACTTCTAAATTGTCTGGAGGAAGATGGGGTGGAATATGAGATCAATATTATTTATTTATTTATTATTTCTTTTATTTTTTACAAAAAAAAAAAATAAATAAAAGATATCTTTATAAACCTTGAAAAAAAAAAAAAAAAATTTATAGTTGAACCAAAATTATATATATCTCACTTTCTTCGTTTTAGCTACGAAATTTTTTTTTTCTTTCTTTTTGTATAGTCAACAATTATGTTCATATATTTATCTTTATATAAATCTATATATTTCCTATTAAAAAAAGGATCATTTTCTTATCTGTATTATAAATCATTTTAAATTAAATACAATGCTTGTGCAAAAGGGTGTTCACAAATACATTTAATAAAAACGGATATGGTTTACTGTAAACAAACTAGATCATAAAACATGTAACAAGGAATTGCCCCATTTCACATGTAACTCCTTTATTTTTGTCGGAAAAAAAACGACTAGAAAAGACGAAAAGTAGAAATAAAAACTCGTTTTGTTTTTTGATTTCCTGACCAATCAACGCATAAGATAACAATTGTCATATCTTCTATATTTTTCTTTCTTTTGGAAAAACTAGTCAAAAAAACTTTGATTCCATTCATTTAATAAACTTGTGATTTATTTTTTAAACGATATGCTTTAACAATTTAATAATGAGTGCGTTTATAAAAATGTATTGAATTGGACAATAGAAATGTTGGTTTGCCAACGATGCCAATTTGAAACGTCTTAATAAAAAGATCTGCTTTATACATCCTCCAATTTTTTAGAAGTTGAATTACAAAAAGTAAATATCTATAGGTAGTTATCAACGAATAATCTGGTGTTTCCCATTGCAAGCGAATGCTAACTAAAACTAAATAGATTAAGAAGTGTAAATTTTATAATCTAAGAAACAAACAAAAAAAAAAAAGACATTGTCTTCATGATATTATTTAAGAATATCTGAACTTCTTTTTTTTTCTCAAGCGTTTCTACAAATTAGCCAATTATAGGAATAATCGAGTTCACAAGTACTCTATTGTATATTTCGTTTCAGAATTAATTCTAGTATTCCACCAAGTTTATTATAGGGAGAAATTTGTGGATCGGGGTAAAATTTAGATTGATAATTCTTAACTCCCTTCAGATAGTAGATTATCTTTTAGATAGTTTATTTATGTTCGAATACCTTATTATCATAATTTAATTAGAATTTTCACGGTTCTCCTTTTTATTATAAACAAAAATTATATAGAAAAAAAATAGAAAGTAGAAAATAGAAAATTTTACACTAAATAATTTCTACTATCAAATGCAGAATTAAAAAGAATTATTATGTTATAGAAATATATATTTAAAAGAATCTAAATATTATTATCACTCCAATACTTTTAACAAATTTTATCCTCCAATAACTCGAGTAATATTTTTTTCCCTCCTTTTTTTTGATATGAAAAACGTATATATAAATTATCAAAAAATAAAAAAAAAGAAATAAAAATATTAATTATGAATGAAAAAAAAAGATATAAAATGTTTTGGATGAAATAATTGATGACATTAAAATAATATAAACAATGTAAGTAATAAGTTGAGAGGAATTATGAAGAAAATGAGAAATCAAAACTTTTTTTTAGTGAAAAGAAATATCAAAGTTGTAATAAAATTAAAATACAGAGAAATGTCAAAATGTAAAGATTTAACCTAAACATCTACGCTTTTCGCTTAGAAAATGTCTTGTTCAACAATTGTAACAACCTGGATACATTAAGTTGAACATACTCAAGATCAAGAGATACTATATTATCTTGTTGCTAAGAAAATAAAATAAAATAAAAAAATTAAGTTTTTCAAGAACGTAACGCGTATGAGTATTTCAGGAAAAAAAAATTACCTTTTCTAGTAGATCGTCTAATTTAAGATCCATCTCTAGGATTGGAGCATCACGACCCTTGTAATGCAACGCAATAATAAATGTACCAGGAACAGGTGATGTTATATTGAAAAAAATATTGTGTCGCCTAATTTAAGAAACAAGATTTAGAAAAAAAGCATTTATGAAATGTTTTAAATAACTCAAAATAAATAAGAAACATACCTATTATCAGGTACATTGGTATCAATTATAACCCCGTCTCTTTCGAAATGGGCATGTGAAAATTTGTACGGTCCCAAAACCTTTACCTTTTGAGTCTTTTCCTTACCACCCAATTTTACTACACTCGCACCGGGCCCTCCTATGGCATCCTTTGAGGTCTGTTGTCTGACATTCAGCAAGTATGCTTTATAACTATCTAATTGACTTCTTAGATAATTGTTATGATCACAGATTGTCTTAAAAACCAGATCAAGAGATCTTATTTCTTCGTTGATCTTTTCTCGAAGATTGCCAAGATGCACTAATTCTAAGGCAACTTCTTCTGTCATAAGCTTATACCCATCACTCCGGTCGATCACATTTGCTTCCTCAAGTTCGCGAATCATTTCTTTAACTTTAATTCCTTTACGAACTAGAGCGGCATCCTTTGCAGTTGCCGCAGCTTCAGCTATCTTTGCCAAATTAATATTTTTCTTATCAACCATTCGCGGTATAGATCGAATAAGTTGAATAAAAATCGACTTCGTCTCCATATATAAAATATCATTTTGTGTCACGCTATTATCGGACATAAGTGCTGATGCGATATCTATAGATTGAGGACGATTTCATTAATATCGTCAATACAACATAAATAATCAAAGGACTTGTTACAAACCTTGTATAGGAGTTTCCCAACGACTGAATAATGGAAGCTCAACGGTTTTGTTTTCGATTCTAGGAACTTGGGCCGGAGATGGCCCAATTTCCTCCAAAATTATGCGTAAATGATTTTTATCTGATGGAGCCTTGTAGGAAAAAAATTCAAAATGAATTAAATTAAAACTCATAGATACAATATAAATAAATAAATTACTTTTTTAAAGGGATTATATACCAATTTTTCTAAATGTTGTGACAACAATGCATGTGTGTTGTATATCTCATTTAAAGTTATGTGCAGCACCAAATCTTTTTTTGAAAGGGCCACGTACTGGTCCATCTAAAAAAATTTACATGTTTAATATATAACTCGGATCTTAAAGTTATTTAAAGAATCATACTGTGTCGATACATACCTCTAACCTCTCATAAAAATCACCTACTTCACATAAATCCATCAAAAACTTATTTATTCTCTTTTTATTTCTATCAATAAAAGGATTTAATAGCACCATAAATTCTTCTTTTAAATAGGTAGGTTTATTTGCTAAATTTTGCAACATTTTGGCAACCTATCAAAAGAAAAGAAAGTAAAATTGTAAATAGAATGTTCTTGAAAACATTAATTAAAAAAAAATTAATTAGAATTTTATTAATTACTATAGTCAGCGTTCGTCTTGGGTGTTCGCGCGGCATTCCATCCACTAACATGTATGAATGTGGCGTGACAATGGCAGGATTGACGAATCGCAAAAAGAAAAATCCACCAATAAGTGTACATATCATTAATTCGGTTGCATCAGCATATTTTCGCTATGATATAAACAAATAAATTAATATGTTTCGTGAAAATATGATTCAAATTATAATGATAAAAATCGAAAAAAAAAAACCTACCTTCGTTAATGATTTGATTTGTTTACAAATCCATCGAATACCATAAGGCACCTGTTCAATAGATTGTATTATAATTGTGAGGAAGGAATTCGCAACGTCCATCAACATATTTATACGAGGTTCTATAATAGCCTTAACATCGGCATTAGCAGCAGCGACATCAGGTGTTACAGAACTTGGAAGTTCGGGTGGTAGTGAACCATTTTCCTCTTCATATTTTTTGATCATTTGTTCATACACTTTTAGCGGATTAATTTCTAAATCCAAATCTTTATGTTCTATCAGAGTATTTATTTTATCTGACAGCACGGCTTTTAGATAAGCTTGTCCAGGACCTCTACGAGTATATGTATTCATCATACGCGATACGGGCGTATTTGCTCGAAGCAGCGAATTAAAGTCATTTGTGGTTTCAAATTGTGTAGATAGAACAGACTACATGAAAGAAATTTATTAAAAAAAATAAAAAATTAACATATATGTTTTATTATTAATTTCACATGAGATTATAAAAGTTTACCTGAAACATTGTTAATAGCAAATGCTCCTCTCTGCTTTCGTATTGATTCCCATACAATGTAAACATTACGGTTTGCAACAAAGTATCAATCTCTGTCAAACTTACAAAACGACATAAATTTGCAATATGTCGTGGCTCTGTTTGAAGAAGGAAAAAAAGATTTCCATATTGATTCATTTTACGATTATCTGGAAAACTAAAAACTTGTTGATCTGATTCTTCAAAATGGCTTTCCATTTCCTGTTTCTATATAATAGAACCTTAAAAGAATTAATTTTAACTAAATATCATTCTAAATAGAAATTAATTATATTAAAAATACCTCATCTAATGCCATCCTATTAGCAATTAATAACGCGATTCGTGAATCCAAATAACGAACATCTCGTTCCAGAACGAAATTCTTTTTAGATTGCGCTGAAATTCGACTTTTTAAATCTCGTAAACGTCTTTGCGCTAATAATTAGATTTAAAGAAATCAACAAAAGACGTTATTCGTACATTTTTGTGTAATTATATCTAATTTAATCGTGAAAAGTAGCTTGCACTACAAAATTCACACGTCAACCGGTTCAATTGAAGTCAATTGTAATCTACCTTTCGCCAAGTCATCTTCAACTTCAACATCGTGTTCGGCAGCTATGGAATATAGTGCTGTTACCGAATACCTCGTGCTGGAACGACCAACAATGGTTCCTGAGGTGTCTCTTCGCGAAAGGGTTGGACGTGAACCGGGCGAGATGGGAATTCCAAAATTTGCTAAAATACTTTGACTTTTACGTTCCATTTATCGACTTTCAACACTAATCGAAAAGTTCTTTGAACGAATGTTTAAAATATATGACAGGATACGTAAAGATTCTCGGTAAGTTGTTTACTTTGGTAAAAAATGAAGAAGTAATTTATATTTAAAATGCTCTGAAAGTAATAATTCTTCATAATATTAATGATATCTCTAATAATTTCGCGGCATTCCCTTTTATAGCAATTAAGTTTAATATAACAAAAGTTCTCCAGAGTTTCAAAAGGTACGGTTTTAACTATTTTTGAATTAATTGTTAGACGAACGTAATAATGTACAAAAAAAAAAAGAATAAAAGGATGATATATATATATAACTAATCGCATGGACATTTGTATACCAAAAGCATGTCTTGTATCACGCCGTGTTCACAGTAACAGAAATTTGTTTATCTCATCTGAACTAAAAAAGTTACATGAAGCAAGCAGCAATTTAAAGATTGAATTAAAAAAGAAAGTACAACACGATTTGAAATGCATGAAAAAAAATTTTCAGAAGAGGAAATATATATAATGTTACATTTTTCAAAATATTAATAAATTTATTTTGATAATTAAATATTTTTGTGAAAGAATTGATAATAGTGATAATATAATAACCCAATTTTATAAATTATAATAAATTTTCCCACGCTGTAATAAACTTTTTTCTGGAAAAAAAATTTGAACTTCAAAGCTACTTCAAAGCTATGTACATACTAGGGAACGGACCGTTGTTAAGTCCGGAACGATCTTTAACTAAAAAAGATTCACACTTTTGTGCAAATTGCAAACGCCAATCAGCATCGACTCAATTATTTAATCGGGACATTCGTTATTAAAGCGCACAGAAATATAGTCCTCACTTTGTCCCGGACTAATAATTTTCGCAGTTAAAAATAATAGTTGGTACATTATTTATTTTAACACACAAATTCTTGGTTTCGTTGGTTATAGGTTGTCGTTTGGTGTAAGATAAGTTTCTCGAATATAATTAATTCTTGGCCTCAGATAATTTTCGATAAGCATTTTATAATCATTGAAAGAAAGAATTCGACCTTAAAATAATAAAAACCTTTAATGCTATTCTTAACTTCAATACTACAAATCTGATCTTAAAAGCTAATCCATCAATTCCAAAATAAATTCCTTAATCAACTCCAATTAGTTGACCTTCCAAAGCTACAACATATGTGATAATTAGAGATGTAAACATATATATAATGCGTGATATCTGTGCAAATTGTAATCCAAATATTGACGTTTCTTCTAAAGCTTCGTTTGGAAGATTGTTCTCAAGAAATTTGTTTGGTTATTCTAAGAGATTTACTTCGATCTTTTAGAATTTTACCATTGTTGCTGTCCGAGTGGTAAAACTCTTTCGTGTCACCCTCAGTTCTTATACAGAAGTCAATCTTTCTTCTTGAATCATTAATGATGGTTTCTTCCCTGAAAAAAAAATCAAAAATAAATGAATCCATATCAGGTCTATAAATGACAATCACTTCAGCAATTAGTACAATTAGTACAATTAGTACAGTTAGTACAGTTAATAATACAGTTAGAACATCATATTAATATAAAATTAGTACAAATACATTGTCAATTTTATCCTAGTACATACAAATTTCCCAACCCTACATGTAAGCATTACAAGATGTTGCTGAGCAGAAAATATTATTGCCAAGATAGATTCTCTAATTTCATAATGTATTGAGCTTTTGTGATTGGCCACCCTTTTTAACAAATATGTTCTAAAACAAAATCCAACCAATAAAACAAACTTGATTTGGTGAATAGCTAAATAAAAATATATATTATGAGTAAAAAAGATCATAATAAACATATATATAGAAATATACTTTCAAATTTGAATATTGATGTCTTTCAATCAGTTTTTCTAATAAATTTTCTTGCTTTCAAATAATCATATTAAATACAAAACTAAATAGTGTAAAAGAGGTTAGTACCTCACATACTATAATAGACAGTAAAATTTACTTATATATGCAATTTTTGTAATAAAATTTGACTTTAAATTAATTTGATAATACCTTGATTTTTAACGGGATCCAATCATTATTAAACTAAGAGTTTATTTTTCACAAACATAGTATACACCATTTATAAAATCCAATTGATATAATTTCTACAATCTAATATAATTGGTTATTGATATCAATTTATTGTTATAGATAGAATTAAACTGGAAATACACTTAAGAAAAATTATAGAAATTTTCTATCTGCTCATCTTGCACTCAATCCTAATTATCCTGATTTCTCATTGATGTTGCTTTTTTGGATTTGATAAGCGTATTGATTATTACTTTTATTGCAATCATGTCTACTATTATTTCAAGATTCTATAATATAAAAAAAAATCAAAGCATGAATAAAGATTCTTATATAAAAAAGATACATAGCCGATTCCTATATCAGAATCAGCAGACATTAATCATAAGCAAGATAGATATGCCTTACACAGATGTAAAACAAGATATTCACATAACTGGATGCTTTTCCTATACTGATTAATCTTTAATTTATATTTAAGTACTAACACTTTTCATACTAGCTTTTGGTATAATTTTTTTTTCAAAATTTTTCTGCCAGAAAATCATTTATATTTCACTGCGTATAACTTCTTAACATAACACAGTTTGCTTAAAATACTTTGTGATAACATAGAAGTGATGTGGAAGAAATAAAGCAAAAAAAATAAATTAGTAAGGTTAAAAAAGATTGTTTATAATCTATAATTAAACTAAAAAAAAAAAATAGTTGATAATTAACTGAATTTGAATTGACCAATTAAAATTGATTGTGACTATAAAATATCTTGATTAAATGAATTGATTAGATGTAATATTAATTGATATTAGCTGATATATTAAGAAGATGATAGATTTTTGTTTTACCATAATAAATATTATTGTATTATTTTGTATAATAAATTTTTCAATTTAGTTTTTTATTTAATATTATATTCTTTTCTTAGAAATTGAAATAAGAAAACAATAAGTAAATTTTGTATAATAAATAGTAATACCTAATGAAACAAATTTATATTCTTTTAAGATGAATATAAAAGTATGTTAAACTATTTATTTAGTATATTAAAAAAAAAAATTGGCTAATTATTTAATAATCTTAAAAATAAAAGCTAGACTTCTATTAAAAAAAGTGTAAACAATCTTTAAAAAATATGATTGATTGTTATAATGTAACTAAAGAATAATGAAGTAAACTAAAAAATCAATTATTTCCAATAAAACTGAAGTATGATAATATGAAGTTTAAATAAGTAGCTTATCAGAAATACTGAGCAGTATACAAATTTGTTAATACAATCACACCTCTATAAGTGCACACACCTAGGATTCAGCTATATATATGCACTTAGGGAGAATGTACACTTAAAGAATAGCCAATAGAAAATTAGATTTTCATTATACTAGTTTTTATTACATTTATTTAGGAATATTTATAACATTTTTATTCTGAAAACAGAATTATTTATCAAAAAATATGTTAATATCTGTTTGTTGCATTAAACTTATTTTTTAGATCTTAAAAAACTTTTTGCTTTTTTTTACCAGGTTTAAATATTCCTCTGTATTATCTTGTTAAAGTTGAAAAATATGTACAGTTTCTAAGCTAACAATTGTAATGCTATAATTAAGAATAGAAATTTTATCACTATTATCTATTTTTTTTATATCCATATCTTTTTTATCAGTATCCTTAAAGAGATATGTAAGTTCTTCAATAATTTCATTATATTTAAAAACTTTGTAGACAATATTTTCTTCAGTTATGTTAAAAAATTCTTTTACCTGTATTGGATGAGAAAGATTAAAAGCTTAAAATATGTCTGTAATATCATTTAACATTAAGTTTTCATTTTAGTGTATCTCTTCTAAAATACCTTCCAAATCTACATTTATATCAGAAAGAATTTTTGTATACCGCTAGCATTATGAATTACTTTAATACTAATTCATTTCATACTTGAATAATAAAATAAATTGCCTGCAGAATATCCATACGTAAATCTTCTATACAGTTACATACCTCTATATATTGCAACATTAAACTATTATATAAAAATAGTAAAATATATCAGTTATATTTGTCATAATACATAATAAATTTAATAAATATAACTTACTATATATGAGAATAATGAT